CAATGTCCAGACATTGATGGCAGTTCTTCACTTTTAATAGTCTAGCCCCTGGCATGCAGAAGCATACTCCCACAACTATTGTGCTGGCAAGTGGTGAAAATGGTGGGTGATCACTGCAGGCGAGAAACCGCGAATGTGTTAGAATGGATGATTGAAACATTTCCATTAGATATGCAGGCAATAACAAATCCTGTATGAGCAATTTCCACAGGATGATCAGGGTTCTTCCATTGTGGGAGGGGGTGCAATGTGAGTGGGGGCCAAATATCTCAGTTTTGGGTGCAGAGCATAGGGTTGAAAATGTCATGTGCTTGAGGGTAACTTGTGGAATTGAACTGAAACCCCTCCTTTGCCTGCGGTGCTGTCAGCTGCCAGGCTACAACAGCGATTGAGTTACAGCTTTTGAATGGTTTGCTGGCAATTTTTTCATGCAAAGACATTTGCAACCTGCACCCATCTGCTTCCTAAAGCAGCCATCCATGACTTGACTTGGGGAACTGAGAAGCTCTCCTGGGGACACCATAATTCAAACAGCAGTCAAAATAATTTGCTTGAAGCCTGAATTCACAGTGCTATATTCAAAACAGTTAACAATTGGGCCAAACCCCATGTAGTATCTGAGGTGCGGTGGATGATCCATGATTTGCTCTATAGTGTTCAAGCAGACAGGCAATTTTTACAAAAGACAAACAAGCATAGCCTACCTTTTGTGGGGGGGAGAGAGTGTTTAACACATCAAATGTGAAATGAAGGAAGCTAAGGAAGAATTGGGGATTTGGTGCTAAGACCCCATGCTATGACATGGTGGCTAGAGTATTGTTATAATAATTTACGATTATTACTAGTACAATTATTAAAATAATCATTACCATAGGCAGAATTACTTGGGATCATTGTCCTCACAAAAAAGAGCACAATCATTAGGAAATAGGCATCCGGTCCAGTACAGGGTCCAGTACCTGAGATATTTAGGCAGGCACCAGAGGAAGGCAGACAGCAAGGGAGGGAGGCTGACTAAGTCAGACACATGAGATGATATTATTACTATTATTGTTATCAATCAATTAACATTAGGAAAATACATTACCCCCTACCAAAACTTCACTCTAATACTTTTGCTGTACCTACTGGACAAAGTGAACAGAATGACCAACAGATAGCCAATTCTGGCCAAGCACTCATAAATGACTTTGTGCTTCTTTGTATCTTGAGAGGACACAGCCCAAGTAGAAATATATATTGAAGTAAAAAATTATGGGAATAAACAAAATTTTAAAAAAGGGAACATTGCATTCAGCATCTTTCAAAAGAGTTAATGAAGCATATTTGACTAAGTATCTTCCTGGACTACCTGAACTTTTGTAATTTTTCAGCATTTCAAAATCTTCCACACTGCAGGCCAGGAGGCTGAGCAACAGTCAGCCCTGGAAGTAGGGCACACACACAGAGCATATACAATTCTTACCCTGACCAGAGACAAAACCATTCTAATAATTGATAAATACAAATCACTGACAAATTTAAAATCATTATTTCACATGCATGTTTAGTTGCTGCTGTATTCAAACAATACAATAAACCTTCTTTGTCTCTGTTTAGAAACTGCGTACATGGTGATGGAGAGATGCTTATTTTTTACACATGCAATGCTAATGGTGAACTAATTATCATGCTCATTTTCAATTACTTTTTCAGTATTATTAATCTAAGGATAATACGAGTTGTGATAAAACACCATGCAATGCCTCCTGTCCTGACCTCAGGTACCTCTCCTGGAAGCAGGGAGGGAGTAGGGGAGCACAGGGAGGTGGAGAAGGTCACTGTAATGCACTGCCACTTCAGGGCTTCATGCTGTGCAATACCTTGCAGCTTCCTTCTTGACACTTAAATCCACCCACCCTATTTACATCCAAGTTGAAACAATGCACCCCCACAACCACAGGGCACAGGACCAAGTGTCAGGTGTCACTTACCAGTGCTTAAACATGCTGGTTGTGGAACACATCATGGGGTCCTCTTTCAAGTGTTGCAAAGCAGCTTCCATCCTGCACTTGAATGCTGCACTGCACACAACTTCAGCAGCAGCAGCCTGCACTCTTATCCAACTGCTGCCTTGGCATTTCTGTGCCCACCCAGTCCTTCTGCCTTTAGTGTGCTGCCATCTCTCATCCACCTCAAAACTCTCTCATCGATACAATGTATGCACACCCCAACCACTGCTCCTAAATTTATAGGCCCTGGCGGGGCAGGAACCCACTCCTGGTGGTGGTGTAAAAAAAATCCAGACCTTCTGGCACCAGCCTGGAAAGCGCGCAACCCCACCCCCTTCCCCCCCATGGGCTGGAAAAGCATGTGAAAAGCTCCTGTCCAAAAACAGTGCCAAAACAAAGTTGTTCCTTGTGCAAAAAATGGTGGGAAAGAAATTTGCAGGTGGCAGCCCCTTTGAGTGGCCCTGCAAAGTGGCAGGAAAATGCAGTGCTTGTGATACCCAGATGCCAACACCCGGGGGGGGGGAGGCAGTCAGACCCTTTGTGTACCTTTGTGTGCCCCTAAGTGTATCCCCCCTCCAAAGCACCTAGTGCAGCAAGTGCTCAGAACAAGTGGGAGGCAGAACTGTGGGACCAGGCTTGGGCATGGGGGAAGCCCCTTTGGGTGGCTTGCGGTACCCACCCCTGATGCCAAGCCAGGCGTGAGGGGGAGGCAGGCAGGCTCTTGCAGACTTTTGCACAAAAAGATTTCCTGCCCCAACCACCAGCGCCCTGCGCAACGAGAGCCCAGAAAAAGCAGGCTTTGCAAGGGAGGCAGGCAGCACTTCTTATGTACTCAACACAGCCAAAAAATGCATCTCTCTTAAGCAAAGCCTCCGACAAGCCTGCCAAAAAAGCAACCTGGCATGACCCAAGAAAATAAACCAACCAAAAAATCAAATCCTAGCTTAAAATGCCCCCCTGGCATAAATTAAAATTTAATTTTAAATTAAATTAACTAAAATTGCAACTAAAATTGTTATGATGTGCCCTCCAGCATCTTTTACTAGTTATAGCATATTAAGCCATTACATGGTAAATAATGTACATGTTACATCATTAGTCATGGTACATTAACAACAGTAAAAAAACCCCAGGAACATCTTTAGCAATAAAAAGCTGATGCCATGGACAAGCCCCGCCCCACCGCAATTTAAGTCCAGTGCTCTTTGTTTTGTCATTTGTCGCCACTGAGAACAGTCCAGCTTCATCCTCTTTGGAACCACCCTTCAGGTAGTTAAAGGCTGCTATTAAATCCCCTCTCAGTTTTCTCTTCTACAGACTAAATAATCCCAGTTCCTTCAGCCTCTCCTCAGAAGTCATGTGCCCCAGCTCTCTTACCATTTTTGTTGCCCTCTGCTGGACTCCCACCAACTTTTCCATATACTTTCTATAGTGGGGGACCTAAAACTAGACACTGTACTCCAGATGTGGTCAAACCAGTTCAGAACAGAGCAGAATAATCACTTCTCTTGAGCTGCTGGCAACACTCCTACTAATGCAGCCCAGTATGCTGTTAGCCTTCTTGGCAACAAGAGCACACTGCTGACTCATATCCATCTTATTATCCACTGTAACCCCTAGGTCCTTTTCTGCAAAGCTGCTGCTTAGCCAGTCGGTCCCAAACCTGTAGGAGTGCATGGGATTATTCCATCCTAAGTGCAGGATTTTGCACTTGTCTTTGTTGAATCTCATGACATTTCTTTTGGCCCAATCCTCCAATTCATCTAGGTCATTCTGAATTCTAAAACTACCCTCCAGTTTATCTATTATACCCCAGCTTGGTGTCATCTGCAAACTTGCTTAGAGTGCAATCCATTCCAACTTCCGATAGTTAATGAAGATACTGAACAAAACCAGCCCCAGGACTGACCCCTGGGCCTACTCCACTTGACACTGGCTGCCAGCTAGACATTGAGCTATTGATTACTGCTCACTGAGCCTGACAATCCAGCCAGCTTTCTATCCACCCCATAGTTCCTCGGTTTGCTTGCAAGAATGCTGCAAGTGATCACACCAAAAGCCTTGCTAAAATCAAGGTAGATCATGTCCACTGCTTTCCTGGAATGCACAGAGCCAGTTATATCATTATAGTAGGAATCCATTTGGTCAGGCTTGACTTGCCCTTGTTGAATCCATGCTGACTGTTTCTAATCATCTTCTTTGCCAAGTGATTAGAAATGGATTTCTTGAGGACCTGCTCCATGATTTTTCTGGGGACTGAGGTGAGGCTGACTGGTCAGTGGTTCCCTGGATCCTCTTTCTTCCCTTTCTTAAAGGGAAGAGAGATAATGCAAGGCAGGATGGAATGAGGCAGGTTTCCATAAACACAGCAAGTGAAAATATTTTTATTAGTGCAGACCAGTAAAGCCCATACCCTACACCAAAGAGATTAATCTTTTTGGCAGGAAAGAAGGCAGACAGACTTAAGACAACAATTTATGGCTCTGAGAGTGAGAATGAAATGCTGTAGAGTCTGTAGGTACCATCATGAAGCCCTTTCTCCCTGGTTCATCTGAACTCTACTCCACTGTTGCACACAGACACATAGGAACATCCTCATTTGTTCCTTTTGTATTATTATTAATATCTTTACCATCATCATGATCATACTTATTATGACTACTATTATTATAATTGTGGTGGCAGCAGAGGTAGTGGCAGTGTTATTATTAAGCTTCCCATAACACCTGTGAGCCATATTCAAGAACCGGGATGTCATTCTGACGGTGCTCTACAAACAACGAACAAGAAGACAGCCCCTGGTGCTGACTGCCAAAGAAAAGGGAAGGAAGAATCATGGGAGGAAAATGTACTTTAAAATCTAATTTGCACTCCTGGAAGCAAACTGCTGAAGAAGCCCCTCACCCAGAAGACAGAACATCTGATTGTACAAAGCTGGTAGCTAACAGGGCTGCATTCCTTTTTTTTGGCAACTCCTGTACGTGGAATTCACCTACATGGGACTTCCAGTTACTTATGCAGGTAGGCATCAAGCCAGAGGTCCCCTGACTCCTTCAGAGATCTGCAAGGGTTGTTGGAGTGTGGGAGGGGTTAAGGGGGTGGGAAAGAGGAAAAGGAGAGAGAGAGAGAAGATGTCCAATTAATGATAAGTATACAATCATGGTTGCACCATAAGAGGGCAGTGCTCCACATACTAAAGAGTATTAACGTCTGTGCATTTGATTTTTACATTCATACCATTCTTTTCATGTAGAATATTTTAAAATGTATTTTGGTGTGCTTTTCTTATCCATCTCCCTCAATGCCATCGTTCCTTTCCCCCACTACCAGATCTTCTCCAATCTCTGGCTTTGAGCACTACTTAGTTCTGTTCTTGTTTTTCAGATAATGTTTACCAGAGCAGTCAGTTTCCAAGAGGAGGGCATCTCAGGATTACAAATAATGGCCTTGTAGTACTCTCACCATTATTCTTGGCGCCATTCCTTACACATGCTAACAGGTTGGTTGTTTTTTGACTGCTCCTATGGACTCAGCTGAATGTTTCAATGCATCATCCACAAGAATGTGCAGATCTTCCATTGAACTGCAATAGTCAATTCTGAATCCTGGAAAACTGGGTGAGCTTTTGCAACCACTCTTGCTGTTTTGCATTATCTTGCAAATGTCAACATTGTGTTTTACTGGCCCCTGGGTTGCCCCTTTACCCATTTCTCTTATGTTTCTCATACTATTCAATCAAGATAACAGAACTGAACACACGTGAGCCACCTCACTTCTTACCCCTTTTCTGGGTTATTAATAATGACTACAAGCCAACAACTAATACTGACTGATGGTGTAATTACCTGCTTTTCCACTATATGCCATGATAAAACCTTTTTCCATGCTTTTTTCCTGATATGTGACAGTGCTTTGCCCCTTATCCCAAGAATTCAAGTCCATCTCCTTAGAAAGTTATGACAAATGCTATGCTATGGCTCAAGTAGTTTGCCTTATGCAGTTGTTCTCAATGTACCTTTCTCCTTGCCAAGAGTTTCCCCTTCTGGGTCAAACAGCCCTTCTCATGCCATAGCCCACTCAGTTCTTGGTTTTTCTGCTGACATTGTGTGTAGGATGGGGATGACACTGCCACTTGCTAAGGTAAGTCCTAGGATGTGGACAGACGTTCTTTAGGAACCAAAATACCAGTTCACCCCACAAAGGCCTCCAAAATCTGGCCTTTGAAATCTAATGATCTGCTCATTAGTATCCTGTGGCTAGATTTTAGGTGGTAACTGAGACATGAAAGGCTCCATAAAACCCTCCCTGTACCCTTAACCATACAGTCCATTCCCATCCACTGTTCCTATCTCATCTTCCCCTGCTCTTCTGCTGTGCGTGTATCTTCTCATTTAATGTGAGGTGCTCTCTTATCATCTAGTTGTGTACCGAATTTTCCAAGTTAATTCTTACCGCACAATGTCTGCAAAGGCAGTGAGCAGGGGCTTGCAATGGTACTTAGCGCCATGTTTGACACACAGGGACTTCACCATGGGGGCCACCTTGTAGAGGTTGTGTCGAGGCATCCTTGGGAAAAGGCTGGGAGGAGGGAAAGAAGATGATTTACTGGGAGTTGTAGTTGGCACTTAGGCCTCACAAAAATCTCTCCCCTCTGCAGAAACCTCAGCTAGTCAACCACTTTCACCTCTTCCTGCAGGGCTTGCATTCACAGGGACTGTAGGAAAATCCCATCTTTCTCCAGATATCCACAGTAATCAGTTCTCCATGAGGATACCCTTCCTCCCACTGGGACCTGCCCCTTACCTGTTCATTGCCAGGGACTCATACTCACTGATGCTCAATTTGGAAGTTCAGATGCCCAGTAAACCAGTCATTGAATATTGATTGATGCACATTACATGTTCCCTGAAGCTGGAAGAGGAGGAAGAACTGAGAGTGAACCTGTAAATGTTAGGATCAGCACAGGTATGTCTGTTTCCACCTGCCCCATAAGGGTCCTCATTCCTTTATACTTCCTCATTTAGAAGAGGTTCCCCTTTAGGGTTAGGTGCACATGGATGTCCCAGATCAGTCAGCTTCTGCCATGTATTTTTCCAACATCACCAAATCCTGATACCCTTCCAACAGACACTTGCAAAGCACCTAGGCATATACATCACTAAAAACAATCCAAATTCACCCAGTGCAACAGCCATCAAGCTTTGTCCCAGAGAGGAGGGGCCTGTTCTGGGAGGCAATGAACCCTGAATGTAGCCCTTTTTCCCAGTCAGTGTTTCTACTGGAAACTTCCACTGACTGGGGTGGAGCTAAGAGGATGAAGTTCAGTTCTGACAAATGCAAGGTAATACATTTAAAAAAGACTAATTCAAAATAGAAATACAAAATGGGTGACACCTGGTTGGATGGCAGAGCTACAGAGAAAGATCTGGGAGTCTTCTTGAATCACAGACTCAATATGAGCTTGCAGTGCGATGTAGCTTCTAAAAAGATTAATGCATTTTTGGAATGCATTTCTAGAAGGTGCAAAGACACAGGAGGGAATAGTGCCTCTTTACTCGGTGCTGGTTAGGCCTAATTTAGAATAGTGTGTGCAGATTTGGACTCTGCATCTTAAAAAGGGCATGGAGAAGTTAGAGAGGATCCAGAGGTGGATGACAAAAATGATAAAGGGCTAAGGAAGCAAGGAAATAGGCATTATCAGCTCATGGAAAAGGCACTTAAAAGGGGACATGATAGCTGTCTTGAAATATCTGAAGGTCTGCCATAAAGAAGAGGGAAAACACCATTTCTCTCTTCATGCAGAAAGTAGCATGTGGACTAATGGTCTGAAATCTCTGCAAGGTTTAGACTGGCTATCAGGAAAAACTTCTTCACTATTAGAAGAGTGAGGCTGTGGAATAGACCGCCTGGGGAAGATTGCCTAGGTAAGGAATCTCCATCATTGGAGATGTTCAAGATATTTCTGGACTTTGTTGGTTGCTGCATGGTACCAGGAAAGAATTTCCCCTCCACTCCTGCTGCTATGTGTTAAAGTTTATTTTGTATGGACTATGGGGATTTGTGCCTTCTTCTGTAGCAGGGGCAGAGCCCATTTCCTTGGATCTTTTGGGGATGCAGTGACCTTTGCAGCAGCAGGTTGTTGGCCACCATGGCCCCCCTGCTTTACTTGTGGCAGGTTAGGGTGTTATATCTTGGGTTTTGTGTCAGGTTTTACAGTATAGGTTTGCTAATAAGTTAGACCAGGGGCTTTCAATCTTTTTCAATCATTTTACCCCCAGGTGCCCGGACGCAGAGCAGTATACCCCTGGCTGCCGAGCGGGGTAGGGGAGAGTGGCATGCAGCCAGATGCGGAGGCAGCAGCAGCTGCATGTGAATTTCCCCTGCCCCCCACATCTGGCCGGGTGGGCGGCACCTGTGCGGCGGTGTGGGATGGTGTATGGTGGCACTCCATCCCCTTGCGTACCCCCTAAGGCCTTCTCAAGTACCCCCAGGGGAACATGTACCACCAGTTGACATAGATTTCATAGATTTCATAGACATTAGGGCTGGAAGGGACCTCGGAAGATCATCGAGTCCAGCCCCCTGCCCCCGGGGCAGGAAAGCCGC